ACGGCCCCCCCAACTCCAACCCCCAACCCCTGCTTGAAGCACGGCCATAAGGTAATGTAAGAGAGAGGTTCTCAAAGTGAGGTTCCTGAGCCTACTTGGGTCAACATTCCAAACCGTTGGTTGCATTAAATATTTCTAAACAGTACTGTCAGCAGGTATTCTAACGCTGAACATTTTGGAGTTTTTTCTGAGTTTTACTATTGTGTGTTACTGTGGCCAGGAAACAAGACCTCCACCAAGGCTGAACACCGCTGTCAACGGCTGCCAACCCTGTCTATGGTCCAGCTTCAACAGGGGGAGTAAAACTGTGGTTTTGTACTTAATGTTTCACATACTTTTGGGTTTTCAAAAAAAAAGCACATATTTAAGGAGGTGGTACGGGGTGTAAAAAGTACTACAGTATACCGTTATCTTTTTTTGGTAGATTTGTCTTCCGTGGCCATGAAGTATTTAATGTACCTTTGCTAACACAATGTAAACACAACGTCGGTGCAGTATTTTAACACTTACGTCTGGGTGCTGGCAGAAACTCATCGACTTCCCCTTTAAACCCTGCAGAGAGGAGAATCGTTTTCATTAAAATTAGTCCAATCAAGAGGATCGGGCGTGCACAATTATCTAAAATCATAGTAAGTGAGCGCAATGTTAGTCAAGAAATGTGAAAATGTAGCTAAAGTTTGGACGTTTACTCAACAATCTTCCAGAAATAGATATAAAATTAGACCAATTAAATTAAATGATAGTCACTAGTACATAAAAGCTGCACAAGAAATATATTTTTCCTTCTGTTATTCGATGTAGCTAAAAATTTGCTACAATGTAGACATCAAGAAAAAAAATCTAGAGCTAAAACTGGTCAGGAAAACTAAAACAAAAATGTGGAAATCAGCCTCATACAAACTGAAGTTTATATATTTTTTAATAATAACATTTTATATGACCCGTATACTGAATATAATTCAGTTGATGTTAAAACTGAGTTTTTGAACTTTAACGTTGAACCTCTATGGAAACTCCTTACTTTTGAAATTATATTTTTTCATAATAACTGAGTTTTTGAACTTTGAACGTTAAACCTCTATGGAAACTCCTTACTTTTGACCACCACAGAGGCGTAGGCAGAGAGCTCTCCTTTGGCGTTCATGGCCGAGACTTGATACTGCGCCGTGTCATCAAAATCACATCTGAAAGATCAGAGGATCAGGTGATCAGAGTCCACGACACACACACATTCCCTGGAGGGTCCGTGTGGACCTGTCCCTTCCCCCGATCTACCGCAGCCATGTAAATAACACCGAGAATGTGAGGCCTGACTGTAAAGTGTTCCGTGACTCCTGGCCAGCAATGCTGAAGGAAAAAATAGACGCCGGCGGTGATATCATCAGTGTCAAGCACCGTCAAGTTGTTCGATATCGAATTTGAATATTTGACTCGAATCACTTTCTCCATAGTACGAATCGGCCTTTAATAAATAAAAAATAAATAAAATGATACGACGGGCATGAAAACTGGTATTTTATAAATCCAATAATAAACGTTAAGTCACTGTGTAGCATCGTCCTGATAAAATGGCGCCCGTCTTCATTGCCTCATTAGCGCCGCTAGCCGCGCATTTTGTAGCGCGGGCTCGGTGCGTGGGAACAACCTGTCGCAATTAATCCCTATTTCCAGTAGAACTCCTCGAATTGTCTATTATTAAATTTAGTTTTCTTCGTTTTCGAAGACGTAGGCTCTTTTTCTGTGTCCTCGCTGGCTCGTTTACCCCGCGCTAAGAAACTTTCCAAAGACATTTGTTTGTTTTTTTAACCGAGGCGAGCATTTTGACATATATCAAGTATGAGTCACGGACAGATGCGGCGTAGAGAATCCGGTAATTTTTCAAAATAAAACATCGTTTAGAATCTGTTAATGGATAAAACGGAAATAATCTTAAGTTATGCGTTCTTTCTGTGCGGCCCGCTACCAATTGACGACGCAAGCTAAATAGCAAATAATATACTATTTATTTATTTTGTCTCTATTTGAGTTTTACATTTCAAACACTTACTTGTTAATCTCCATGGAGTGCACGTTGTATCTGCTCTCGAGCTTATACTTGCCAGGGTTGGACAGGGGGTCAATAGGCACATTGTTCTTGTACCTTTTGGTAGAAACCAGAACCAGGAAAGAGGAAAGAAATGTAAACAAAGAAAGACGTCATAAAAAAGATTCAGTTCTGTCTAAAATAAGGAGGTAGTTGTAGGACTCAGTTGTAGGGGTCACGTTCAGGTCATGGTGCATCGGTGACCTACCAGACGACCCGGGGGTCAGGCCAGCCGGTGACAGTGCAGTGCAGTCGCACACACTGGTTCTCCCACACAGTGTGGGAGCGAGGTTTAATCACAAACTCCGGGGAGTGCATCAGGCTGTCTTCGTTCATACGCTTGAAATGTTCCTCGTGATCATGGATCTACGGAAGGCAGAACGACTCAGTCAGGAGAAGAGAATTCACGTCCTCCAACAAAGACGTATCGTTTCATCAGGACAGGAGCAAAAAGTCGGCACTGAGTTTGTGTTTTATCATCACTGGGGCCACGGATTGGAAACCTCATGATGTAAAAACCTGACTGGAAACAAGGCTGCCAGAGAGACACACCAGAAATCTCTGTAGCCTTGTTGCCTGAACCTAAACAATACCTGATCTGATTTTTATCTTGTCCTTATTTCTATTTTCCTCCTCGTCTGTTTTCATCATTCCCACTGAAAACTGAACCTGATTTTGGACGTTTTAGAAAAGTGTTTTAATCGACTGCTGCTACTTTTCCTCCTAGATCAGTGAAACCTTCATTCATACTCAGACAGCTGAACTGATCGTACAGCGTTGTCAATGGACTGAAAAGGAAATTTAAAAATAATCCATCCTCCATCAAACATCCACATCTCAGGTCAGTCTCCAACGATGACGTTAATGATGACACTAACATAAACAAAAAACAGTGACCAGAAACACAGTACATCACATGCCACAAAATCCAATCCTTGTCCACGGTCACATGCATTTAACAAGACCACACGTGCTTCTGTGTTGTTCATTATATATCCTAAGAATAGCTCCTGAAGGGGGCGGTGCGGAGGGGTGGGGGTTCTACTTGTGCTTGGAGTAACTCCTGACTTAGTATGACAACACTCTTAGGACACTTCCTCCTTGTGTCTCAGGAAACACGATCTCCTCAGGCATTTGTCACCCTGCAATAAGACTTTCTGGCAGAGGGCGATACAGTGCAGTGAGGGAGATGACTGTGGCTTTGAATGACACCCACTGAATGGCTGAGTACTTTACACCTATTTCCAGTAGAACTCCTCGAATTGTCTATTATTAAATTTAGTTTTCTTCGTTTTCGAAGACGTAGGCTCTTTTTCTGTGTCCTCGCTGGCTCGTTTACCCCGCGCTAAGAAACTTTCCAAAGACATTTGTTTGTTTTTTTAACCGAGGCGAGCATTTTGACATATATCAAGTGTGAGGTTTTTTTAACGGTGAGCATTTTGACATATATCAAGTGTGAGTCACGGACAGATGCGGCGTAGAGAATCCGGTAATTTTTCAAAATAAAACATCGTTTAGAATCTGTTAATGGATAAAACGGAAATAATCTTAAGTTATGCGTTCTTTCTGTGCGGCCCGCTACCAATTGACGACGCAAGCTAAATAGCAAATAATATACTATTTATTTATTTTGTCTCTATTTGAGTTTTACATTTCAAACACTTACTTGTTAATCTCCATGGAGTGCACGTTGTATCTGCTCTCGAGCTTATACTTGCCAGGGTTGGACAGGGGGTCAATAGGCACATTGTTCTTGTACCTTTTGGTAGAAACCAGAACCAGGAAAGAGGAAAGAAATGTAAACAAAGAAAGACGTCATAAAAAAGATTCAGTTCTGTCTAAAATAAGGAGGTAGTTGTAGGACTCAGTTGTAGGGGTCACGTTGAGGTCATGGTGCATCAGTGACCTACCAGACGACCCGGGGGTCAGGCCAGCCGGTGACAGTGCAGTGCAGTCGCACACACTGGTTCTCCCACACAGTGTGGGAGCGAGGTTTAATCACAAACTCCGGGGAGTGCATCAGGCTGTCTTCGTTCATACGCTTGAAATGTTCCTCGTGATCATGGATCTACGGAAGGCAGAACGACTCAGTCAGGAGAAGAGAATTCACGTCCTCCAACAAAGACGTATCGTTTCATCAGGACAGGAGCAAAAAGTCGGCACTGAGTTTGTGTTTTATCATCACTGGGGCCACGGATTGGAAACCTCATGATGTAAAAACCTGACTGGAAACAAGGCTGCCAGAGAGACACACCAGAAATCTCTGTAGCCTTGTTGCCTGAACCTAAACAATACCTGATCTGATTTTTATCTTGTCCTTATTTCTATTTTCCTCCTCGTCTTTTTTCATCATTCCCACTGAAAACTGAACCTGATTTTGGACGTTTTAGAAAAGTGTTTTAATCGACTGCTGCTACTTTTCCTCCTAGATCAGTGAAACCTTCATTCATACTCAGACAGCCGAACTGATCGTACAGCGTTGTCAATGGACTGAAAAGGAAATTTAAAAATAATCCATCCTCCATCAAACATCCACATCTCAGGTCAGTCTCCAACGATGACGTTAATGATGACGCTAACATAAACAAAAAACAGTGACCAGAAACACAGTACATCACATGCCACAAAATCCAATCCTTGTCCACGGTCACATGCATTTAACAAGACCACACGTGCTTCTGTGTTGTTCATTATATATCCTAAGAATAGCTCCTGAAGGGGGCGGTGCGGAGGGGTGGGGGTTCTACTTGTGCTTGGAGTAACTCCTGACTTAGTATGACAACACTCTTAGGACACTTCCTCCTTGTGTCTCAGGAAACACGATCTCCTCAGGCATTTGTCACCCTGCAATAAGACTTTCTGGCAGAGGGCGATACAGTGCAGTGAGGGAGATGACTGTGGCTTTGAATGACACCCACTGAATGGCTGAGTACTTTACACAATTACCCAAACACTAGTAACTCCCCAGTGTGAGTAGGAGTAGAAATAACAAGCATTAAGATCTGGGAACTGAGCGTTCCCAAGAAGAACACTCATGAATGAATTCACTTACACCGTTATGCTGATGATGTAACTGTTTTAAGGTTAAGGAGCAGAGTGTTGCAATTGTATGGGTTCCAAACAGGCAGACACCGGTTCAGATCCTGTTCAGGTTCTGGTACTGTTTTTTACTCAAAGCAAATTAGCCTGTAGTTCCACTACTGAAATGGAATCAAAGTTCCACGGTTCTATGTTTTTATCATTGGTCACAACAAATTCTCTGGAGACTTTGTTCTCACTTATGTCTCACTTTTGTTGTGCTGTAGTTTCAACTAAAATTAGATTCTCTTAGAACACTACGGAATATTCCTGTTCTGTAGATTGAAACTGTCTGTAATCTTTTTTTTTCCAGAAAAACCAGTCAATTTGATTCCTGTGTGTTCGGAGGTCAACATCTTCTTCCAGGAAGTTGTCAACAAGCACAAACCTAGACTTTTTGGGAGGAAATTTTTCAAACAACAAATCAATTAATGATTGGCGTGAAGGTCCGAAATTAAGTTCAGGATCATGAACTGCACTGGAGTGATGTCAGTGGTAAAACCCCTTATGAGGTCAACCATCAAGTGGCCACAGATGTTACG